TCCCATCTGTAAAATTAGAATGATAATATTACCCTCTTTGCAAGGTGATGTGAAATATAAGTGAGATGAGATGATCTTTGTAAAGTTCCTGATGTGGCACCTATCAACGAGGCCATGTTCCATAAGATGAGGAAGTACAGAAACCACTCACAAGACACAATAATAATAAAAGGTACAAGGATAATGGCACTGCACTAAACATTTTGCCTGGGTAATCTCATTTAATTTTAAAACAATAACATAAAATACCATTGTTATCCCCATTTAATAAATGGGGAAGATAAGACTCAGAGGGCTTAAGAAACTTGTTAATGTCACATATCCAATAAAAGGAAGAACCAGGACTAAATAAGTAAAAGTAGCAGCTATTATTATCATATTATTATCCTCACCATCACCGTCATCAACCCATCGCTCTATCTCTGTAGCAGACTAGGCTATAAAAATGAGTTCTTGGGTACTTCCAAAGATAATTGTCTCCCTTTGGAAGGAATCCAGAACAAGCCCACATTAAGCTAAATTCTGCACTAGAGTGGGCTGTCATACAGTTGGAAGGATTTATTCCAAGCACCTAGAAGGCACATGAAAGATGAATAGATAGAATTTGTCAGATTTTCTATTACCTTTAAACACACCCCAATGCGATGAAAGGAAAGAAAATAAAGCCATTTTGCCCATACACAAAGATATTTTTAAACATCATTGCAATTGGGTCATCTGGTTGTCGTCCCTGAGGAATCAAATACAGAGCCAAAGATATGTATAGTTCACATGAAATATGGTCTGCTTTGTTACCGAATGACAAAAATTAATGACTTTTGGTATAAATGGATGAGTCCACCGTGAGGAGGTTAAAATGCAAATGTAGGATTTACTTAAGTTGAATTCTATAGAGCTCTTTATTCAGTTACTCCTCCATTATATTTCCCATAGCTAAGTATCAAAACTAATTGTAAAGTTATAGTGTTTAGTATTTATTTCAATTAATAATTATGTACACTTTCCTAAAAAAATTCAATTACTTATGATCATAGCTATAAAATTGTTTTTAAACATTCATATAAAAGATGAGATTAATGATTTCACAGAAATATCATGGCATGTCATTGAAATGAATCACAGATAAAAATGATATTTTACTGTACTAATATTCTCATTATTTTCTCAAAGACCCCAATGAAATGTCCTATATTTTTAATAACATAGTTTTCCAATTTGTTTCAAATTACTTAAGTTTTATTTTTGTAATTGCCATTAACAGAGTCAGACACTTGAAGTATGCCACAATTTTTTTCTCTGGATCCAATTTTAAAATGCAACTGTGGAAGAGTACATGTTGTTCTTTAATAAACTTTAGAAATTTTGGTAAAATTGAAAGAATTAAAGACAGTTGTCACTGGAGAGTCAACATTCAAATCAATATGAGAGAGGCCTGATAGATAAAGCTGAGAACTCGTAGAGTATTTCATAACAAGACTTTAGATGGAAAATCACTCCAATCTAACATCTGATGACTTGGGAATATACCCGAAGTTATTAGATTGTCGATTTTTCACATCTCAGTACTGAGCAACCTCCCACAATGACAGTCACATTCCTCCCATGCTATGTAAGAATGAAACGGGAAGCAAGACCTCACACCCCCAACTTCTTATCGCTTGTTCTCCTCTCACTTCTTAACATACCTCGGGGTATATCTCAGGTCAGGGTCATGGACCAGGAAAGGTGCTCTTGAATGGACGTATTTCTCTTCTCACTTATCCGATGCTTTCTGACTCAAAATTGTGCCATTAAGAAAACAGAGTAAACAAACAGATTTAAGAGGATGAAACAAAAATCCAGCAGGGATTCTTATTACTCCATAGATCAGGGGTCCTCAGACTTTTTAAACAGGGGTCCAGTTCACTGTCCCTCGGACCGTTGGAGGGCCAGACTGCGGGCCCCAGGATGAGTCGGCTGCTAAGCAGGACAGGCAGGGGCGGCAAAAACACCCAGCGGGCTGGATAAATGTCCTAGGCGGGCCGCATGTGGCCCATGGGCCATAGTTTGAGGACGCCCACCATAGACTCTATTTTAAAATGGATCTTTATATTTATGTATACTCCCAGTTGACTGACCAGTCCCCATCTCTCTAGTTGTGATTACCTTAATTAGTATAAATTGGCATAGTAACAATTGAAGTGAAATTGAAAAATTTAGACTTTTAGTAATTGAGATAGCATCTGGAGTCAGAAAGACCCTGTTTCAATCCCTTCGTGTGCTTCTTCATACATTGACCATATAGGCTGGAAAGTTACTTAGCTCCTGGGGGCATCCAAGTTGAAATCTGTAACTAAGAATTACAAGGCTTACTTCATAAGAACATTGTGAGAATTTAGATGCATACAAAAGTGCCTGACACTCAAAGACTGTTTATTATTACAATTAATTATTATAATAGGGCACCATTTATCACCACGGAGGTTCATAAGCATGAGCACGGGGTTAGTGGAGGAAGCCTGGAAGCCTCAGTCACCCTTTGCTGACCTGTGGTTTTCTGTCCAAGAGCTTCCTCCTCACCTAAGGGCGTCATTCTCTGAACATTTTCCTCCTTCCTCCCCATAATCTGTAAAGCTAATAGAGACCCTTTTTCTACTCATGGTACAAGTAAAGCTTAACTAAACTATGATCCTTTTTCTTTTTTAATGCTCACATAATCTGTAATTGAGGTGTTGGCGTTTTTCCGTCTGAATTATGGAAAGGTCTGTTGCCTCAAAAAATAATGACACAGTCCTTAGAATGGTGAATTATTCACTAGGATAATTTTAGCATCTTCATGGTTTTCATATGGAAAAGTCCTTTATGGAGACAAATGTTAATCAAATGGATAGCTGTCAAAAGAACAATAACCTTTAATTATTAAATATTTTTTTAAAGTTCATTGAAGTTGCCTTTTCATCCTCACAAAATAACTGTTAGGTTCAAATGCCCAGGGATCTTGTCTGTTTTGTTCACTGATGTATCGCAAGCACCTAGAATTAGTGCCTAGTACATAGTGAAAGTTCAGTGGACATTAATTAACTGATCAGGAAAAAAATACTTCATTAAACTCCTGTCCTTCTTTAGAAATTTGCAAAAAATAAAATAAAAGCAACCACACTTATATTTAAAAACATTCTTTAAATGATATTTTCCCATCATTTTGTTTATGAATGCAGCTTCTGGATTTGAATTTCGACTGTGTGGATTTGAATTTGGACTGTGTGACCATAAGTAAATCACTTTATTTCTCTGTGCTTCAATTTCACCTTCTCTTAATGGGCATGTTACTACTTCGTATCCACACTAAGATTCAATAAGGTACTGCAGAAGCCCTACGGAATTTCCTGGCTTAGAGCCTAGTGAAAATATCCAAACTTAAAATTCTGCTGAGGAAGGTATTGAGACCCACGGAGTCCAGGACATCTACAGGTCCCACAATCAGGTGACAAAGCCAGAATTAAACAGCCACATTACCGTCCGACTGCAAAAGTTCACAGTATCTCGTTAAGCTCATCTCTTTATATACGCTTTCTAAACAACAAAGATGAGTGTGGTTCACTCTCTCTAGCAAAGACTTTTTCAAAATGCGTATTCTGAGATGCTGGCTGCAAATAACCAGAAAACGTTGGACCCTGCCAGCCAAAGCAGATAATGGGACTGCTCGAACCTGGAGCTTAACACATTCATCCAGTTGGAAATATTGTTCTTGACATTTCCGAAGACACAGGGAAACCGGAATCAAACGCAATAATTCTTGAGGTGTCCTCGGGATCATCGGGGTCACTGTGTGCCTCACTTCCTCCCTGCGTTCTAGCCTCCCTCGCTGGGTTCCTGCCACTCCCCTCCGCTGTGCTGGGAAGCTCCAGGCGAGTGGCTTAGAGCGTGCGGGCGCGGGCGGGTTCGCTCAGCCTCAGCCGCCGGGGCCCAGGGGCCCGGAGACTAGTGGAGGCAAGGCGAGGCTGCGAGTGTTGGGGCAAAGGGCTCAGCTGCGAACAGAGTGACCCTCCGGGACCCGTCAAGTCAGACCCCACGAGTAGACCGGGAGGGTCCAGAGGGCTACCTTACCAGCGGCGCCGAGAGCGCGCAGCGCAGACTTGCCAGAAGCCGCAGGTGAGTCACTGCCCTGCGCTCCCACCGCATGCTCTTGCCCCGTGTCCAACAGGTTGGCCCGAGCACAGCTCCAAGCGATCTGCCCTGGGCAGGAGCACTGGGCTTCTCCCTTAACCACGGCATCGTTACTATTTAAACTCCTGCCCCAACCCACGCCT